TATCCGTACCCCCCCCCCCCCCCGACCCCTCCCCCCCCCCGTCTCCCATCCCTCCCTCCTCCGGGCAGTAGAGTTCAACTGCTGCCTCTGGTTTTTTGCACAAGCTCACTCACTTGATCTTTTGATCCTGGACTATCGGTCTACTGGTAAAAGCAGCAGGGACAGGGAGGGGAGATGATCTCTTGTGAGTTTCAGCAAAAGCCTGTCACCTGTGGATCTACCTGTTCCCACCGCCCTTCCCCCTTCCGGCAGTAGAGAGGAAAGTTACATTAACTGCGTGTCGGCTGTGGATCCAGCCGGAGTGACTGTAACTGACCAGAACGTCCTGAATGCGGCTGCTTTGGCACACCCTCGCCCCCTCCTCCTCTCCCTCTCCAACCGACCCCTACCTTCTCCTGCCCCACCCCTCCCATCAGTAGAGAGGAAAGTTACATTAACTGCGTGTCGGCTGTGGATCCAGCTGCAGTTAATCAATTACTCTAACAACTTGAAGCAGCCGCCGCGGACCATCAGGCGTACCGGACCACTGGATGCCGGACCACCGGAGTTTTACTGTATATGCCCATCACAAGAGACAAGTGCACAGACTGATCTCCCCTCCACTTCACGTCTTAAACTCTCTTACATGGTAGACCAATCCCTGCAATCTTCCAGCATGTGTACCATTTCCATGAGACCAACCATCTGTACACATAACTACCGACATGTCCCTCATCGGATGGCGAGCCCACACGAGTGCCATGTCAATACAAGGATGATGGACCACACAAGAGACTACTTTACATATCAATTTATTAGAAATCAGAGCTGTGTTCAATGCATGCAAGCATTTTGTTACACACTTTCAAGGCAAAAACGTCAGAATATTGACCAACAACATCAACGATGTACTACATAAATCGCCAAGGAGTGCCCGTTCTCATGCTTTATGCATAGAGGTGGTCCGATTATGGAACTGGTGCATATGAAACAAAATTACTCTTGTAGCTTCATACTTACCAGGAGTAAACAACATCACAGCAGACAACCTCAGCAGACATTTTGCCCAAGATCATGAATGGGAACTGCACCCTAGGGTCCACCAATCCATCTTCCAACAATGGGGTACACTGGAAATTGACTTATTCGCTTCCTACATAAACAAGAAATGTCACTGTTACTTCTCCCGAGCAGGCATCAGACTGGGGTCTCTAGGAGATGCCTTCCTTCTCAGTTGGAAGGGTCCCCTCTCATATGTGTTTCCCCCATCCCACTCATTCCCAACGTGTTGGAGAAGATCGCCAGAGACAGAGCAAGAGTTAGTCTCATAGCACCGTTTTGGGCATGAAGATATGCTTTCCTTGTCTGTATCTGATGATTCTTCAGCCTCCCTACCACCTTTCGATTCAGCACGATCTTCTAACTCAGAACAGGGGATCCTTACTTCACCTACAACCACATCTTCTCCGCCTAACAGCATAGCTCATTGTTGGTTCCACTAGGAAGAACTACAGTGCTCAAACCAAGTAAAACACCTACTCTTACACAGCAGAAAACAATTCACCCGAAACACTTACCTTCAAAAGTGGTGTAGATTCCTCTCTTGGTGCTCTAACAAGCATTTAGACCCCTGAACAGCACCATTACATACAGTTTTGGACTACATACTGTCCCTCAAGGACGCTGGATTATCACTTTCCTTTTTAAAGATACATCTATCAATTTTCACTCACCTCATCACAAAGAAATTCATAAAAGGCCTTTCCCCAACCTATACTCACCACACAGGCTACTGCCACCATCATGGAACTTAAAAATGGTTCTGGACACTCTTACCCAGGCACCTTTTGAACCTTTAGCTACTTGTCCACTCTCTATGATGACATTAAAGGTGCTTTTTCTGCTGGCAATCACTTCTGCCTGTAGAGTCGGTGAGTTGGCAGCCTTAATGGCGGTTCCACCCTACACTATTTTTAATAAAGACAATGTAGTACTACATCCACATCCTTACTTCGTTCCTAAGGTTTGTTCTGACTTTCACATAAATGAACCCATTGGACTCCCCTCATTCTACCCTAAGCCACACTCAACTACAAAGGATGCAATATCTCATTCATTGGATGTATGCAGAGTTCTTACATTCTATATAGAAAGAACTCAATCTTTCCGCAAGTTGGATCATTTGCTCATTTCTACAATGGAACGCAATAAGGAATATCCGCTATCGTCACAACACATCTCCAAACTCACTGTCTCCTTCATTATGCAATGTTATATGTTAAGGAATAAACCACTACCTCAGACACCTAGAGCACACTCGACAAGGACAGTGGTGACTTCTACAGCCTTTCTTCATGGGGTTCCCCTCAAGGACATCTGCAGAGTGGCTACATGGTCCACCAATAACACTTTTATGAAGCACTATGCAATCTTGAAGGCTTAAGCGAAAGACACTATCGTGGCTTCCATGGTCCTATCGACTGCTGTTAAACCATAAATCTGAGGCCTACCTACCGCTTATACTGAATACTGCTACACATTCAACTACAGTGGAACACCCATGGGGATACCACTCGAAGAAGAAGAGGAAGTTACTCACCTTGGTGCAGTAACGATGGTTCTTTGAGATGTGTGTCCCTGTGGGTGCTCCACTATCCACCCTCCTCCCCGTCTCAGATTCTCTTTCCTTATTGTCTTTCAGATACAGGGTCAGGCTCGAGGAACTGGTGGGAACCAGACCTTGAGAGAGATCTAAAGAGCATGAACAGATTGAGGCGTGTGCTGTACATGTGCAGTCCGACTGACTACTTCTCAAGAAAACTCCAACACCGACACCTACAATGGCGCACCCACAGGGACACACATCTCGAAGAACCGTCATTACTGCACCAAGGTGAATAACTTCCTCTTTTCTGCAGGGCCATGAAGACTGGGTGACGGATGTTGCAATTAGCAGCAATAAGAAATGGATCCTTTCTTCCTCAAAGGTAGCAGCAAACTTACAGATGTGGTATAGAAAGCTAATTTGGAAACAGATTTCACTATATATTTCAATGTTTATGTTAGAAAAATTATAACATACTGAAGCAGTTGCCCCAGTCTTTCATTTGTAGTTTTTTGTTTAGCTGAGAAGCAATTACAAAGAATATTAAAAGGAAGTTTATGTGTTGGTGTATGTTTGGTATGACCCAAAAACTCAATTTCTAAGACTATTAAAGAATATTTATGCTTGACCAGTGATAATATGTACATTAACGTCTTAATTGTTTTTTCTAATTTTTAGGATGCTACTTTGAGATTATGGAACATTGAAAAGGCTGATCATGTTCCTGAGGCAATAGAAAACAGAAATACAAGAGACTCAAAAATAGTTCAAGTAAGCATTATATGTAGTTACATCTGATGGCTTTGGCCTTTTAGTCTCCAAGTTACACCTCAAGCTGTCTCAAGTGTCTGGGAGAGAGCCACAGGAAGGACAAGTGTCATATTTGTAAAAACTTTGGCCCATAAAGAGCGTGATATCAGCTTGAGGTTTCTCCTAATGAAACCCACTCTGTCACACTCTGGAATCATCTTCATCTGACCCTGAGGTGAATGGATTGGCCTAGATGCCAAGTGTGCCACTTGCCCCCAGACTCAACCAATCACCACTGGTGCCTAGGAAGTGGAAAAAGAAGGAGAGCCCTTCAGCATCAAAGGTCCGAGAGCCTGCAGGCAAAGCACTTATGTCAGGCCATGTGCCTGTCTCAGGCTCCTAGGGGGTACCACTGTGGTTGGGGTCCAGAGCCCAGCCAGGAACCCTCCCATGAGGTGGTAATATCTCCCTGCCTACAGTGGGGCCTTCGGTGCTCGAAGCAATTCTGGCAGCTAAAGACCAGAGCTGACTGGTTCCTCAGGTGCCCCACTAGGGAAGTGAGGCAGCTCCACCTATGGCACCAAAGACCTAGCCCATTGGAATGCAGCAACATAGATTGGTGGAACACCCTCGGTCACCAGACTGCAGGCGCAGGTCTCCTTAGCTGTGACCTCACTGTGGTCAGTGTGACCCAACTTGCAGGCCAGAAGGTTTATGTCCCTAATGAAGTCTCCATCAACCAGACTTGGGACTCCTGAGCCAAGGCACTGTTCCCTCTACCACCGGTACCAGCCAATGTCTGGCCACAAGTTGCCCAGGCACTGGTCAGCCTTTTTCCAGTGGTCTTCTTAACATCAGTCGCCATCTTGGAAAGCTTGGAACTTGGCATTGGTCTTGTTCACTCCAGTACCGATCCTCAGGCAGGCAGCACAATTCCACCCCTTTGTTCATCCACCAGGGTCAGCAGACAGGCCCAGGTCCCAGTGGCCCTGCTGTGGACACTGGAGAGGATTGGATTGGGACTTCAGCCTGTTGCCAAGAAGGGGCAACTCCCCCTACATGAGAGACAGTGGCTAACCCTAGTATAGTGCATAAAATTCATTGGAGTGATCCTTGACTCCACTGGGTCTTGGATCTTCCTCCAACTCAGACCACACCCAGCATCAGGGCCATCCTTGGGGGGGGGGGGGGGG